TAAAATCAGAAAAAAAAAAAAAAAAAAAAAAGTCATACCAATTTTTTTTGGAAAGGAATAATTTTGAGCGAGGAAACCTCTTATATTATGGCCATTTTTACTGTTAGTAAAACTTATAAATATGACTTATTTCTCATTGTAACAGCAGAGCAACAACAAGAGTAGCTAAGCAAATAGAGTAAGAATTACAGAGTTAAAAATATAGTGTAATAGAGCAAGAGCAAGAGTCGCACAACAAGTAGAGCGTTAAAAGTAAACTACAATAGAAAAGGGTTTTGAAAATTTATTTGTCTCCTTGTTTCTCCACTCTCGACACCTCCATCACAGTTTCGTGAGAGTTACCTAAATGAGTTAGTTTCAAAGCGAGCGTCTATTTTCTACAAGTTGGTATCGGAGCAGCTGTTAATTTCAACAAATTGGTATTAGAGCAAATTTATTTTTCTACAAGTTTTAGGTCGCTTCTACTGCTAAACCTCTACAAGAATAGTCTCACAATGATCACTTGGAGCCAATGTACATTCTATTAACCAAGTAAATATACATTGTTTAATGGGGTGATAACATTCATCAAGTACCTAGAGTGCAGATTTCACAAAATTTCGTCCTTGAACACAACATGATGTTGTACAAGTAGTATAAAATAACACAGTACAACGTGCGAGGTCTAATTCATCCATATACATATACAGTAGTATATAATCACACATTTAAACCATAAACCTTAGTATAGATCATGCCAAACTAATTCTAGGGTCGGTTTTTCTAGCATGCATATAAATCCAAGCGATCCTTACCCTGAATTTATGTAGAACCAACGTGTGGCAGGCGAGGGTTGGTGGCTGCATGTTAGATTCAGGCAAGGGTCTTCGAGTTGGACTTCGGGCTGAGTGGCATTCAGGTTAGGTATCAATATGGTTGCACGTGGATTTTGAATCGAATTTGGGTTGAGTCGACCCGTAGATGTGTCGATGCATATAGTATAGCACATTGATCCACTGCTCATTCAACATGTGTCCATGTGGCATCCAAACACACTCCGCCGTTCGTCATCCGAAAGAGAAGTATAGCTCTTTAATCTAGCTATCTAAACATGATATTTAAAGAACATTTTGCCAAACATATACCTTAATAATTCCAATTGAATACCTAGAAAAATAAGTGTTCTTACCAAATTCGAGACCCCAAAAAATTTGGTTCTGACGCAGTTCTTGGCCAAGTTCCAACTTGAAACTTCGAGATTTCTACTCTTAGAATATCATGTTCAAGAATCAGACCTTAACCAAATCCAAGACTAACATATTACTGAAAACGTCTCGAGGCTGAACACCTGCGTACAACCCCTAACTTTTTGCTTAGATGTTGAGGAAGCTTTCTTAGTTATCAACAACATTCTTAATGTCATTGATTATAGTTAATAAATTACTAATTCTCTCACAATATTGATTATGTAATTATGCATATTTACGATTTGTATGGTTTCTTTTAAACACAAGAACTCTAATTCTCTTTGATTCCTTCGGTTGTTCAATTAAACTCATTAAAAAATTAGCAATAGTTTCACAAAGAATGATAGAAGATAAGGGTAATTAATAATAGCTTGAGATAGTTATATCATTTTGAAATTTGTTTTATTTTAGCACATCTATCCATTGAACATTTGACACTCCAAATTGAAAGTCCCATGCTATATTGAAAATGTTGTTGGTTAGAGGGTTGAATTACTGTTAAACGAGACATTATCTCATAACTAGTATGAATTCTAGACATATGACGTTACAAATGGTACCAGAGCAATATCTCTACTAGTAAGATATGGTTTGAGGATGAACCAAGGAAAAAATTGATGGACATGTGCATCCTGAATAAAGTAGAGGTATGCATATAGACCGTATCCAAATAAAAGTGATCATGAAGAGAGGACGGGTAAAAAGGGTTTATAGGAATTAAAAGTTATTACCGATATTAATAAGGTGTACCCTCTTTTCCAGCGACTCTCAATAAGATATGATTCGATAGTAAACTAAAGGAGTTGGTGGGCATGTGACACCCGAATAAAAGAGTACATGAAAAGAATTTTTTAAAAACTATTATTATTTGAGATTTTAAAAGTGGGTGCGCGTGGGTTGCACGGTAAAGCAAAATCCAATTCATTTTGTAGAGGTCTACGTCCGACATTATAGTTATTAATGATGACGTGGATACTACAACTACATAGTCGGTCGATAAAGTCAAAATATGTAAGCAAATTTATTGAATTGGTTAGTATGATTTATACTATTTGTGTTATATTTGTTGACGTGTTATTAGAATTAAATCATCATGTTTTCTATAAGATATTTTGTTTTTATTTTATTTATTAAGTGAGTGAATGAAATACCGACACGTACGCAGCTACATATATGGACTTTTAGAATCCTATGCGTATTCAATTTCTTTGGATTATAAATTTTTGGTACTTATTTTAAGTTAAAAAATACCCGTAAATTTTTAAAAGTAATATTAAAAAATTTGGAGATAATGATGAGATATCTAATAGACGATTTTTGTCCATATATTAATGGTAAGAATTTTTTCAAACTCTTTTCGAGTATTTTTTAAATATAGTACTAATGGTAAATATATTTTTTAACTTTTTAAAATAATTGAAGGGTACAAATGATAAGGGTATTAATTGTTTTCATCCAAAATTAATGGTGAAGGTATTTTTTTTGAACTTTTTTTTGGCCCAAGGTGTATGATGAACTATTGGCTAAGGAATGACAGACGTTGAGTTGAGTTGGGTTGGGTCGGAGCGCAAGGTATATGCCAATGGATATGCAAACTAGGTGAGCTGACAGAATCAAGTCACGCATTGAATAGAGTCTAGGCTAAAGTTGTCGGTGTTGGGTCTGAGCTTGGTCAGCCATATAGTTGGAATGAGTTGGGTTCTTCTTTCTCGTTTGATTCTATTGCTATTTTTTATACTTCTCTCGCTACGCTCCAATGACTCTCTGTTGACCAAGTTTTGGCATTCCACGACATTTCACACCCTCTTTTTATCATCAAAACTATTTTTTGCCCTTGTTAACTCGGAAATAACTTCTCGGAAACTCAATGAATTTGAAAAAGAATTATAGATCTAAAAACCCAAAAAACTCAACCAAAACCATTAATGTTGTTTTAGAATTTATCGTTATCACCATGAAACGAACTACGGCAACATTGACCTTCAATTTCAATCAAACACCATAGTAACCTTCAAATTTTCAAATTTTTCTCAAGCAATCCTCAATTAAAATGATAAACGTTTAGAGGACAAGAAAGATGATAGCTTTGATAATTAAGAGAGGTGAAAGGTTTAGGGTACAATTTCGAATGTCTAAGGTGGTGGACGGTTGAGAATCACGAAGCCTCGGGCAAGTCACCGTGCTGTTCTTTAAATTTTTTAACTAAGTCGTTGCAATTCTTACCAAATCGATGAACTTAACAAAATCAATTAAATGCAAATTGAATTTTCTCATATCATGTTAGGAAGATTCTGAGCAGTGTAGTAAAACCAAAAGGTATTTAGCATAGCGCCACCTAAATAATGAGGCCGTAGGACACTTTGCATTAAATTATGTAATTTCATCACCTTTATGCCTTCCTTTATAGGGCTGCCTGCATATGCTGTGTTCTTCACTTCACATGTTCTTACTTTTAGCACTAATCAATGGCTTCTCTTAAGCTCTTCATTATTGCTTTTCTCTTGCTCATGATTCTTGCAAGAACTCAACTTGCACAATGCAACACTTTGAAGGCCAACATCTCTTGCCTTGATTGTCAATCCAACTATGATTTCTCAGGTCTTTACAACCCTTTCGACTTACGTTTCGTTTTTATTTCGTGTTGTTTCTATCGTGTTTTGTAAGATTCTACATGGACTGGAGAGGAGAACGAAACATTTCTTATAAAAGTGTGAAAATTTCTTCTTAGTAGACACGTTTTAAAACATTGAGGGAAGGAAAACCTAAAAAGGAGTCTATTAGAGGTGGACTTGGACTGTTATAAATGATATCAGAGCCTGGCACCAGACGGTGTGCTAGCGAGGATGCTGGACCTCCAAGGGGCGGGTGTGGAAACTTCTCACTCGTAGCCACATTTTAAAACCTTGAGGGGAAGCCCAAAGTTTGGAAACTTCCTCCAAGTAGACGAGATTTAAAACTTTGAGGGAAAACCCAAATAGAGGACAATATCTGATAGCAGTGAGCTTAGACTGTTACAAATGGTATCAAAGCCAGGCATCTAGTAGTGTGCAAGGGTCCTAAGGGGGTGGGTGCAGAAGCCTTTCTATGGCAAACACGTTTTAAAACTTTGAGGTGAACCCTAGAAGAAAAAACCCAAAAAGAACACTATCAGCTAGCTGTGGGCTTATAAATGGTATCAGAACTAAATATTGGGCAGTGTGCCAACCAGGACACAAGCACCCCTAGACTGATATAAATGGCATCATAACCAAATATTCGGCAGTGTGCCAGTTAGAACACTAGCACCCAAGGGTCAGGTGTGGAAACCTCTCCCTAGTAGACGCGGAAAAGCATAAAGAAAACAATATTAGCTAACGATGGGCTTAGACTATTACACATTTAGCGAGGAAAAACAAAATTTTATTTCATAACTATTTAATGAACTCGTAGTATTTAAACAATTAAAAGTGTTTTTGAACCGTTAAAAAGTTTCTAAAAATGATTTATTTTTCTTTAAGGAAACATGATCGTAGTGAATTGCAAGAACGTGAAGAACCTAAGTGTTGCAATTACCGAAGCGAATGGATCATTCAAAACTACGCTTCCTTCCGACACGTTCTCGGACGACTCCAAAGCAGCTCCATCCAACTGCATAGCCAAGCTAATTGGGGGACCTCATCAGCTCTATGCTTCAAGGAAAGGCATGGCTTCCAGAGTCATCAAGGGAACCAACTCCAACTTCTTCACCCTTGCCAATGCTCTCACCTTCTCCACATGCAAACATAACACAAAGTGCTTATCCATCAAAAATTTTGTTGCTGATTCAAAGACCATTGATTTACCTCTGCCACCTGAGTGGGGCTTTCCACCTACAAGTTACTATTTTCCTGTGCTTCCCATCATAGGCATTCCTTGAGTTTGAGTATTAGTTGTTGCTTCCAATGGGCGAAAGATTTGAATCTCGGAGCTCGTAGGAAAGTATAAATATCTTAACATTGTGTTATAATCATGTTTAAGTAGTATGGTTAAATGTTGTAGTTTAAATACGTTTGTAACGTGGAAAAGATGAATTCTATACACTTGTTATTAATATATATGGTCGTCGTAATCTTTATGAGATTTTTTACCAGTTGTCAAAGAACCAACCTCTTTTTTCCTACCCATCTTAAATCAATAACTTGACCCCTACTATTTATAGGTAGTTTTAGATAGATTTCTTTTGAAGGGGATACATGAATGTCAAGTATGCCGGTAATAATCTATATTTGGGGGCATACAATGATTCTTGTCCCATCTGAGGTGTTAATTTACCTACTAAAATATCGTCGTCTCAACAAATGATCCTAACATCACAATTCCATTTTTGTCTAAATTTCGGAGTAAGCGGGCTTTTAGATGTGGGACTTCGTTAGTGATTCTTGCTTGTCACATGAGTTTGAATTTCATATTTCCGAAGGTGGAAAGAATATAAATATCTTCTATATCATACGTTCGCTAATTAGTATGCATCTTTAGAATCTAGTGGATCTCAATTGATCCACCACCGTTTTAATGCCCTCTCTGCTAAAATTTCTCATAAACCATTCCTAAATCCTTTCCTTCTCCCAATTTTGAAAATCATCGACTCCACTAGGAGTGTACATGGTCCAGGTTAGGTTGGGTTAAAAGATTTGTTTTGGATAAACCCAAAAGTTCGGGTTGGTTGAATTGATAATCCAATCCAATCCAAAAATTTTCACAATCTAACCAAACTCTCTATTCTCATGCTTAAACTACACTTCTTAATATATTTTGTAAATTTTTGTTTGGTTCGGGTCAACTCGAAGTTTTTGTTCCATAAATTTAAAACCGAACCAAAACAGTTCAGGTTCAGAAAAATAAATTCAACCCAACCCAACCCCTATCAGTTGGGTTATTGAATTGTCAGACACCAATAATTGAAGTGTATTATACAGTAGACTCGCCTTCATGCACCAGACATTTTCGTAGAGCCCGACAATGGTGAAAAGCTGTGGATCTTGGGAGGAGGTCACTGGAAAAGTTGCCAGAGAGTCAGGTCAGGTTAGGTCAGGTCAGGTTAACCCGTAATCCACTGAATGTCCATCCACAATCCAGTTCAGCCCAAACTCAACTCCAGCATACCAACTTAAGCGCAGCCCACGTTTAAACTCATTTCCTCCTTCAGCCCAGCCCATGCCAAAGCCCAAGCCCAAGCAATAGCAAAATCGTTGATCGTCAATAGTGGAGTTAGCTGATGATTAGCTTGGATTCTAGTATTAGATGATCATGTTTTAAATATTTTTCTAAGGGTTACACAGGTATGCATCAATCAATCGCGATTTACATGTTGATCTAGGTCAGTACGCTTTTAGTAGACACTACACTCTAGGATTGTGAGTGGCGATTTGAGATATTGACCTGTATGCATCCTAGAGAGTAGATTGGCTCGAGGAGTTACTAGACGTCTTGTGAATGAAAGGCAAGGTTTAAAACGCCTAGATGCCCTTAAGAACCTAGTAACAGTATGTACGATGTCATAAGTTTAATGGTACCATTAGAGTCTCCCTACTCCTTCCACTCTAATACCCGTACCATCGAGTTTTACTTCGGTATCCCCTGTCAAGCCATGAATAGGATGGTTAGGGTTGTGTTTTCTAGAGAGGGTTGTGGAACCAGTAGATCCATCCATAAGGAGGGCGTGGAATCAAGGAGGAGATTACCCATGCTCATCAAATTTGTCTTAAAAGGGGGAGTAGAATCACGCAAGTAATCTTAGTAACTGGCAAGCACACAGGGTCGCTCCCTCAATCTTGGGTGACTATATGGTTTTATGGGAGATGGATAATGAGCAGGCTAGCACACACCACAAGAGAGAGTTCTATGAGGTAGCACCTCAACCAAGGACAAGAATTTCACACTAGCTAGGTAAAATAACAAAAGAGTAATTCACACTAGAGAGGGAACTTGTCATTTGACAGATCTGTGAAGCCAAGAAAGGGCGAATCACCTTCTCCATATCTAGAGTTGGTCCGTAAGCAATGAGTAGCTAAAGTATCGCTTAGAACTTTAGGTACCCTAAATGCTTAGATATCAGTTGAGGCCAGGTCGAACTTCTTAGAGTATAGAGTATAGCCCGTGGATACCTACTAAGTTAAAGATGAGATGAGAGCCTATAATTTGGTTGCTTATTGAGTATTTTTATACTCACCCATTTCCCCCTTCTTTCTCAACTGTTTGCACGCTACCTGTCCAGGAGGAGGAGAGTTCAAGTTGTGTGGTCACAAACGGGTCATTTCGGATCGTCAGACTATTTTAATATTTGAGTATTATGTATTTCATTATGTGAATGTATCTCAAACCCATTTTCTCATTCTTAATAAATTTAAATAGTATCGTCTCGTAATAAAATTTAATTTTGTATTTAATTGTGGTATTGTTTGTTTGTTTTAATTTGATTTAAATGTTACCCAATTTTCGTATTTTATCTTTTTTACTTATATTTTATTTCTCTTAGTCTTTGTTTTTTTAGTCACGGTCTGAGTTTTCGAAACCTCAGAAACCAAGTCATGACAATCTATGTGCCCGAAAGTTATAGTAATTACGCAGTTGTGTAAATGGAATTACATAAGATGTAAAGACAACTACCTACTTGTGTACATGTAAACTAAAGTAATTCACCTAATTGTGTGCATGCAAATTACTTCAGGTACATGTGATGTGACGTTGTGACAATTACGTATCTGGGTGTGCAAGAATTTGTATACTCTATTTTGGCTTTACTTGTGGCAACCACACATTTACGTGTCCACGGGAGTTGACCGATTTCAAATGATTATAGGTCCCTTGATATTTGCGTGTCCACGGGAGTTGACCAATTTCAAATGATTATAGGTCCCTTAGTTTCTTGCTATTTGATGTGATTGTATGCACGTCTAACCCTGATAGGGGAGGGGAAGGTTTCTTATAGAGTATTTTCACTGCTCAGGCTTTCTCAATATATTTTGAGTTAAAGATTAAGAGTGTGCAATGATCGTGACAACCAGGAGTACTTATGGCTTTGGGCAATGGTCATTATGTCTGTTTTATCTTCATCTATTTACTTCGAAAGTGTTCTACACTTCTGTTTTATCTTTTAACTACAAACTCTAGCCACTTATTTAAAAGTTCTTTCTTCTCAAACATGTTCTTTTATTTAAATTTTTCCAGAGGTACCCATACTAAATTTAAATGTTTTCGGTTAAATTTTACGAGTCTGCAATGTACGTATTTTCATTTTTTTGCTTTAAATGACCTAAAAAAACATATGGTAACGAGCCTATTTTAATAATAATAATAATTTAATTTTAAAAAGACATATAATAAAATAATAAAATTAATACTATTCCATTACAAATCTAGACAGTAACCTTATTTTTAGGTTGAGTCAATGAAAAAAAATGTTAATCTCTAAAGCCGCAGACCATTTATGGTTTCGGTTGGATCGGACCCGTTAGTCGGATTCTCGATGTCTCTAAATTTTAAATAAATAAATAATTAAAAAAAAAGAATTAAGTGGAAAAACATGAACCAAGTCAAAGGACAATTTTAGATATAATGTCAACATGACCCTTTGACAAATTTTGTGATGGAGAACAGAAAAGCATTAATTATATGAAGAAGAGAAAAAATATATCAACTTTCCCACCTAACTATGACACATATTCAAATATTATCTAATCATTTAGAGATCGATCTATTTCAACCCTACACGTTAAGAAAAAGAATGGTTCGTTTTAGATTAGTGTTCTTCAAAAATACCGTTTTTAAGTATTTTTTTTTTTTATAAAAATCGTCTAGAATTAAAATATTTATATGTTTGGTTTATTGAAACATAATACGTTAGTAGATGACAATGACGTGGGATCATGTTCCTTTATGCTTATACACGATGATGCGGAGATTATTAAAGGGTTGCTAGTTAATATTTTTAGTAATGAACTTACGAGTTGACATTGACTGGGTCGTGTCCTAAATCTTGTATGGATATTATGTGGGAACTATTAAGAAATTTCCAACTATTCGTGACTTAAGGGCAAGGAGGGTCCAAATAAATGTCGAAGTAGTTGGCAAGCATGAGAGTCGTTCTCTTCTTTTATGATAATGACACTGTTTAGGATTCGTAACTTGGATCCGGCACCTGTATGCCAGGACATTCCCATGCATTCCCCACGATATAGTAATATCACTTGTTCCCTACTTCTAAGAGTGAAGATTATTCCTACCGACCAACATGAGTCCTTCCAACATATTTTGCTCTCACTCACATACATCATAGAAATTTTGTCCAGAGATTACCCAATATAAAATTATTTTAAGTAAAACAAGCTGAACCATGGAATTCATGCGATTGAGCCACCGGAAAAAAAGGTGCACATTGTTGGTATAAATCTAGCAACTTTCAATTTTTTTTTAAGTCTTTCTTAGTTATTTTATTATTTGATATCTCTAATTTAAATGTGATCTCAGTTCATTAATGTACCTTTCATTTACTCAATGTCACAATCACCAACTAGTTTATGATAGGGCTTGTAAGTATATCATGAGTTGAAATCTATAATAAGCCGCACATCTTATAGGTCTAAATGCATGGTTTGAAATGACAGTAAATAATAGTATATAGTCAACTAGATTCTACAATGGTCACTTAACCCTAAAAAGAGGAATGCGTTCAAGAGAACTATATGATGAATCCCAAAGTATGAAATGAGTTACGAGAAATTAAATTATAAGATAAAAAAAACTCCGAATGATTAAAACTAAAAGAATGAACTCGATAGAACCTAGTTCTTACTTTCATACAATAGAAGCCCTAGACCTGATAATTAAGAGCGATCGGGAACCTAATATTGCATGATCGCAACAAGTACAAACAAGTAACGAGTTTGCATTATATTTTAAATTGAATGCTATAAAATTCCAATTGTTATTAAGCTAAGGAACATAGTTGTTACAAGTTATAATTATAACATAAACAAAAAAAATAATAATAATAATTGAAATTCATTTTTCAAAAATATCCCTATAGGTCCTCCAATTTTTGTTTATTTGAAAAAAGCTCCCCCAAATTTCTGAAATATTCT